GAGTAAACTATTTGAAGTCTTGAGGAAAAAAAATACGTCACTAACCTAGAAGCCTGTGCCATGCAAAATTATTCTTTAAAAGTGAAGGTAAAATAAAGACTTTCTTAGACTAACAAAAATTGGGAATTTGTTTGACAGTAAACCTAATGTAAAAATGTTAAAAGTAGTCCTTTAGAGTGAAAGAAAATAATATAGGTCAGAATCTTGGATTTACTAAAGAAAGAGCATTATAGATAAAATAGTAAAGATAAAGTAAGTTTTTTCTTATTCTTAATTGATTTAACAGATAAGTTTGTTCAAAATAGTAATAACAACAATGTATTTCATTATGTATTCCTATGCATATTATATATGTACATCATATATATGCTTTTATATGCTTATATATCAGTGAAGTGAATGACAGAAATGATATAAGAATTGGAAGGGAGGAATTAAGATTATTTGGTTATTATAAGGTACTTATACTACCAATGAAGTGGTATAGTGTTACTTGAAAGCAGACCTGGATTAGTTCTAAATATACTGCAAACTACAGGGCAACCACTAAAATAAAGGTATAATGATATGCTGGAAAAGAAGTAAAAATGGGGGGAGAGCTAAGATGGCAGAGGAGTGAATGGGAGTCATGCTGACCTCCTCCCAAGACCAAACTGGAATTGTGACTAAATAGTGGAGAAATCACCTGGAAAGCAATGGGACGACAGAGGGAGAGGAGCCTTGGAGCCGCAGACAGACAGTGGATTCAACTCTCACACATCTGAACGGGTGAGAAGTGTGGTGGAGGCTCGAGAGGGTGGGCTGGGCGCCCACGGGTACCAGCACCAGAGGGACATTGAAAGGGTCAGTTGGATCCCCCTGAGAAGAACAGGGTCTGAACCATAAACAGGGACATCTAGACTACAGCAGCTGAAACCAGGAAAATGCACAGACAAAATGCAACCCCGAAAAGCTTAGGGGTGCTCTCTGCCCGAGACAGGCGGCTGGGGATGCAAAGAGACATTTAAAAGGCCAACGCAAAAATTTGCAGTGGCAGCTGCCCTCCTTGATCCCTGGGTAGAGGCGGCAGCAGAGTGGGCTGGTGCCTGGGAAAAGACTGGTGAGGAAAACTTTGTGAAGAGAACTGACACGGCGGCAGGTGGAGCCCAGGTGATAACGCACCTCCCACTCTGCACCTACCATCTCTCTCAGGCATAAGGGAATCAATTAACCTGCCTTTTGTGCGTGCCGCACACAGCTTGCGCGCGTGTGAGCTGGGGGGCTAAGTGCAGACTGGCTGGAAGAAATAGAGGATCCCTGGCCGAAGGGGTCACACAGCTGCATAGAGAGCCTTGAGGAGAGACTGGAGATGGAGGCATTGGGGAAAGAATGGGAGGAGGAACCTGGGAGACCCAACTTCCTCCCCATTCTGTAGTCTCAATTGTGTGGGAACAGGCCAGCTCCCAAAGAGCCAAAAGCTGAAAAGCACACAATAGACAGCTCAAAACCACCCAGTGCAGGCGCCGCACACTCGTGCCAAGTGGCCGGCGAGGGTTGGCAAGCCTGTGTGTGGACCCGCCTGGGCTGGCGAGGGATCGCGCAGGTTGGCCCCAAAGGGGCCTGTGAGGGAGTGCGCAGGTCGCGGAGGGGGGCCAAAACTGACCTGCACAGGCCCCCGAGTGCAGAGTGGTCCGCAGAAATAGTGGATCCTGGGCCGAAGGGGTCACAGAGCTGCCCAGAGTCCCTGGAGGAGAGACTGGAGACAGGATTAATTGGAGAGTCCTGGAGATGACTTCCTCCCATTTCTGTAGACTCCATTTGGCGAGGGCAGGCAACGCACCAAAAGAGCCAAAAGCGGGGAAAGCACACCATAAAAGACCCTAAACTGACCAGTGCCAGGGTGCCTGCTGGCCTGGGGGGCCAGGCGAGTGCGCGAGGTCGCGAATACGCCCCGTGGGCTGGGGCACGCACGTGTGAGCCCAGGCGGGGGCGGGGGATCCTGCCGGGCCAGGGAGCGCACTCAGCCAGCGTGCACCTTGAGAGTGCAGAGCGATCCACAGAAATAGTGGATCCCTGGACTAAGGGGTCACAGAGCTGCCCCAAGCAGGAGTCAGACACAGACAGTAGACTCCTGGAAGGTTCAAACAAACGACCCCAGGCCATATAGGGTCAACAACTGACATCATCAGAGGCAGGCCCAGAAAGAAAAATAAAGGAAATAAATAAATAAATAAATAAATAATAAATTAAAAGACCCGCCTACTACCATACAAGTTTAATCCACAAAGTCAGGAAATCTAGACGGCCCAATTGAAGCAGAAGCAAAAATAAATAAATAAATAAGTAAATTACTTAACAGACTCTCACAAAAATGGGAAGAAAAAGAAGTTCCCCCCAAATGAGTGGAAAAGGGGACTCCCCACAGAGAGAGCTAAATAAAATAGAGGCAAGGGAACTATCAGATATTGAATTCAAAACAATGGCTCTAAGGAAGCTCAATGAGCTCAGCCAGGTCAAAGATAACTATGAGAAACTGCAGAGAAACTATCAGGACCTTACAGCAAACTATATCAACTTGGAAAAGGACATAGAAGCTATCAAGAAGACACAAGAGGATATGAAGAATACAATTTTTGAATTGAAACACAGTAGAAGGAATCAAAAACAGGCTGGATGAAGCTGAGATGAAGATCGGGAACACGACAAGGATGTCCGCTTTCACCACTTCTTTTCAACATCGTATTGGAAGTCCTAGCCACAGTGGTCAGACAAGAAAAAGAAATAAAAGGCATCCAAATAGGAAAGGAGGAAGTAAAACTGTCATTGTTTGCAGATGACATGATAGTGTACATAGAAAACCCTGTAGACTCTACCAAAACACTACTCAACCTAATAAGTGAATTTGGCAAAACAGCAGGATACAAAGTCAATATTCAGAAATCAAAGGCATTTTTGTATACCAGCAATGAAATAGAAGAAGAAGAAATCAGAAAAAAAATACCATTCGATATAGGAACAAGAAAAATAAAGTACCTAGGAATAAATTTAACCAAGAAGGTAAAAGACCTGTATGCAGAAAACTATACAACATTGAAGAAAGACATGAAGGAAGACACAAATAAATGGAAGCATATACGGTGCTCATGGATTGGAAGAATTAATATCCTCAAAATGTCCATACTACCCAAAGCAATTTATAGATTCGAAGCAATCCCTATTAAGATACCAATGACATATTTCACAGAAATAGAACAGACATTTCAAAAATTTATAGGGAACCATAAACAACCCTGAATAGCCACAGCAATTTTGAGAAAGAAACACAAAGTAGGAGGGATCACAATACCGGACATCAAACTATACTGTAAAGCCACTATACTAAAAACAATCTGGTACTGGCACAAGAACAGATCCGTAGAACAGTGGAACAGAATAGAAAGCTCAGAAATAAGCCCAGGTGTATATGGGCAACTAATATTTGACAAAGGGGGCAGAAACATAAAATGGAGCAATAATAGCCTCTTCAACAAATGGTGTTGGGAGAGCTGGACGGCTACATGCAAAAAATTGAAACTGGATCATCAGCTGACACAAAACATACACAAAAATAAACTCAAGATGGTTAAAAGACTTAAATATAAGTCACAAAACCATAAAAGTCCTAGAGGAGAACATTGGCAGGAAACTCTCAGATATCCCATTCAGCAACTTTTTCACCGATATGTCTCCTAAAGCAAGGGACATAAAGAAAAGAATAAGCAAGTGGGACCTCATCAAAATAAGAAGCTTCTGCATGGCTATAGAAAACATCAGCAAAATGCAAAGGGAGCAAACCGTATGGGAAAATATATTTGCTAATGATACATCAGATAGAGGTTTGATCTCCAAAATATTTAAAGAACTCACTCAACTCCACTCCAAGAAGACAAATGATCCATACAAAAAAAAAAAGGGCAAAGGACCTGGGCAGATGCTTTTCTAAGGAAGAGATACAGAGGGTCTAGAGACATTTGAAAGGATGCTCGGCATCACTAGCCATCAGAGGAATGCAGATCAAAACCACAATGAGGTACCATCTCACACTGGTCAGAATGCCCATCATAAACAGATCCACAAACAACAGGTGCTGGCGAGGCTGTGGAGAAAAGGGAACCCTAGTACACTGTTGGTGGGAATGCAGACTGGTGCAGCTATTGTGGAAAGCAGTGTGGAATTTCCTCAGAAAGCTGAAAATGGAACTGCCTTTTGATCCAGTGATTCCCCAGCTGGGACTATACCCTAAGAATTCCAAAACGCCGATTCAAAAGAACCTATGCACCCCAATGTTCATAGCAGCACAATTTACAATAGCCAAGTGTTGGAAGCAACCTAAATGCCCATCAGTAGATGATTGGATCAAAAAATTACAGTACATTTACACAATGGAATACTATGCAGCAGAAAGAAAAAAAGAACTACTCAACTTCGCAACAGCATGGATAGAACTAGAGAGCATTATGCTAAGCGAAATAAGCCAGGGGGCGAAAGACAAATACCATATGATCTCACCTATAAGAGGAACCTAACCAACAATACAAAGATGCAAGGAAAATAAGACCAGCCACACTGAAAGGAAAAGAAACGAACAGAGAGAGACAAGAGGGATGGAGGGATGGGGGAATGGGAGGGTCAGGGAACGTGTAGCAAGGTCTCATGGACAAAACCAAAGGGGAAGGATTGAGGGAGGGAGAGGGGGATGGGGCAGGGGAAGGTGGTGGGGGGAAGGCAGAGACAAATGTATTTGAAAAAATAAAGAAAATAAATTAAATGAAAAAAAACAAGAAAATGTAACGGAAAGAAGTAATCAGCTCTATTCTTAAAATTTGGGGGACATGTAGTCTCTGAAACATATTTAGACGATCAAGCCAACTAGTTAGAAAATGGAAGGCATTATTTGGAAAGAAAGTTTTTCAGAAACAATCGAGTTTATATAATAACCTGAAGCACCCTCTGGACATCACCGCAAGATAGGTTGCTGTTACCTGCAGTGTGTCCTGTTTTGCAATTACTCGTTTAAGCTCTGCAACTGTTCCCCACGTCCCCCCTCCCATTCTCATTGCCATTGCCATTGTCCTACCCTGGCTCTCATCCTTTCTTTCCTGGAGTGTCACCACTTACCTGACTTACCAGTTTTTGCTCATGTTATTGCTTTGGACTGGGAATCTCTCCCTGTTGTCTCAACCTAAAAAATATACACTCATTCTTCAGCCTTAAGATGGCATTCTTCAAGTGCCATCTCCTTGTTAACCATTGTGGATTGCCCCCCAACCAATTTGATTTAGTTGCTTCTCCCCTGTATTAATAGTTATACTACATGAACATATTGTGTTACTTAATTACACTTTCCCCCTCCTCCTAATAAATTTGAAGCTTCTTCAAAACAGGAAGAAATTTTCATTTATTTTATTCCTTTCCTCTCTTTTCTGTAACAACTAGCCACAGAACTTTTTACACAGAAGATGCTTAATACTTGTTTATTGAATTGAAAAAAAAGAGGAAAAAATGGAAGCATGCAAAATGTACAATTAAAATGACAAAAGGCAGAAAAAGAGTAGAAGAAAAAATAGAAACAGCATGGAAAACAAGTGGAATGATGTAACAAATATGGTAGATAAAATCCAACTATATTAAACAACCACTTTGAATGTCAATGTCTAAAAATGAATTAAAAGAGATTTTTACAGTGGATCAAAAAAAACAGGAACTAACTATATGTCATCTACAAGAAACCCACTTTAAATATAAAGATGCATACAGATTAAAAGTATACAGATAAAGAAATACCATGCTAAGACTAATTAATAGAAAACAAAAGAGCTATATTAACTTCAGACAAAGCAGATATCAAAGCAAGGAAACGGTATCAATGATAAATAAAGATGTCAATTCTTCAAGAAGATGTAATGATCTTGAAGAATTGACATCTTGTGTGCTAACAACAGAGGTCTACACTATGTTAGGCAACAACTGATAGAATGGCAGGGAGAACAAGGTGAATTCACTATCATAGCTGAAGACTTCAACACCCCTCCATCAGAAATGGACAGACCCAAGAGAGAGAAAATCAGTACTGACATAGGTGAACCTAACTAACACCATCAATCAACTGGATATAATTGACATATATAAACTACCACATCCAATAAGGTCAGAATACAAATTGTTCTCAAACTTGCACTGAACATTCAACAAGATAGACTACATTTTAGATCATAAAACAAACCTTAACAAATTTAAAGGAGCTGAAATACACAATGTTTTCTCAGACCATAATAGAATAAAACTAAAAATCAATTACAGAAAGATAAATAAAAAATCCAAAAATACACTTCTAGATAACACATGGGTCAAAAATAAATATCAAGAGAAATTGAAAAATAGTTTGAACTAAAGGAAGATGAAAACATAACATATCAATATTTGTGGTATGCAGCAAAAGTGGTGATTACAGGGAAATTTATAGTATTGACTGTATATATTAGAAGAGAAGAAATATTTAAAATTAATAATCTAAACTTTCACCTTAGTAAACTAGAAAAATAAGAGCAAATTAAATCCAAAGCAAAAAATAAAAAACAATAAAAATTATAGCAGAAATCAGTGAAATTGAAACAAAAAAATCAAGAAAACCAAAAAATGGTTTTTAAAAAGGTGAATAAAATTGATAAACCAGTAGCCAGGTTAATTAAGGAAAAAAAGAGTGAGGACACACATGAATAGCAGAAGCAAAAGTGGAAACATCAATATAGATTCTAGGGACATTAAAAGGCTAATCAAGAAACAATGAACAACTCTTACACAAAAATTTGATAATCTAAATGAAATGGACCAATTTCCTAGAAGACACAGTTTGCCAAAAATAACAGAAGAAATGAACAATCTGAACAAGTCTATATCTATTAAAGAAATTGAATCAATAATTAATAACTTGTCAAAACAGAAAGCACCAGGCCCAGATGGGTTCATTGATGACCTCTACTAAACATTTAAGGAATAAATTATACCAACTCATTAAAATCATTTAGAGTATAAAAGTAGAGAAAATACTTCCTGACTCATTCTAGGAAGCCAATATTACCCTAATTACCAGAAAATATATTTAACAGTTTCTCAAATAATGTCATTTGATTCATTGTCATTTCATTATAACATTGATGAGATGCTTTAGAAATTTAACTCTTTTCTATATCAACTAGTATGGTAAAATTGGATATATCATCTGTTCTTGGGCCTAAAGTTGATCAACCTATTGATGATGTGAAGTGAGAACTTACTGTACAAAAAAATAAATTACAGGCTAATGTCTCTCATGAACATACATGCAAAAATTCTCAACAAAACATTAGCAAATAAAATCTAACAATATATAAAAAATTATACACTGCAACAATAAAATTTATCTCAGGTATGCAAGGCTAACTCAACATTTGAAAATTAATTACTGTAATTGATCACATCAATGGATTATAAAGGAAAATCACATGGTCATATCAATAGATGAAAAAGCATCTGACAAAATAAACACTCATTCACAAAATGAAAAAAAACCCTCTCAGTAAACTAGAATACAGGAAACTTCCTCAATTTCATAAAGAATATAAAAGAACATATAGCTCACATCAAATTAATGGTGAGAAACTTGAATCTTTCCCAGTTACATGATTAGGATTCCCCATCAACACTCCTTTTCAATATTGTACTAAGTCCAGGCTAATGTAAGACAAGAAAAGGAAATTAAAATTATGCATATTGGGAAGAAAGAAATAAAACTGTCTTTGTTCATAGATGACCTATATATAAAATCCAAAAGAATCAACAACTAAACTTCTGAAACTAAGTGACGATAGCAAGATTGTAGGATACAAGATTAATATACAAAAATGAATATCTTATATGCCAGTAATGAACAAGTAAAATTTGAAGTTCAAAATACAATACCATTTACATTAGCACTCCAAAACATGAAATTTGTATAAACATAATAAAATATCTGTTCTCTATATGAGAAAAACTACAAAATGCTGATGAACAAAAATCAGAGAAAAACTAATGATAAAATAGTTGCTTTTTAGATACATACAAAGAAAAAATAAATGGAGAGATATTTCATGTTTATGGATAGGAAGAACCAGTATTGTCAAGATCTTCTCAATCTATAGATTCAATGCAATCCCAATCAAAATCCCAGAAAGTACTTTGTGGATATTAACAAACTAATTGTAAATTTATATAGAGAAGCAAAAGACTCAAAACAGGCAACAAAACATTGAATACAAAGAGCAAGGCTGAAGGACTAATGCTACCTGACTTACTATGAAGTTATAGTCATCAAGATGATGTGGTATTGGTAAAAAAAAACAAAAACAAACAAACAAAAAAACAGACAAATAGATCAGTCTACAAGAATAGAACACAGACATCCACATCAAAAGTACAACTAAATTACAGAACAACCATCATAGAGAACCACCAGCAATTTAGTTGAACACAAGTTCTATAATTAAGGATGTACAGAAGAAGTCATGCTGAGGCTGGTAGGCAAGGTGGAGACATGAAACAGGTCAGTCCCACACCCGTATGTGGTGGTTAAAAATTGTACCCTGGCAGGTGTAGCTCAGAGGATTGAGCACTGGCCTGCAAACCAAAAGGTTGCCGGTTTGATTGCCTGTCAGGGCACATGCCTAGACTGCAGGCCAGGTCCCCAGTGAGGGGCACATGAGAGGCAATCACACATTGATGTTTCTCTTCCTCTCTTTTTCCCTCCCTTCCCCTCTGTCTAATTAATAAATACATAAATAAATAAATAAATTCTTTTTAAAAAAAATTGGGAGGGATCTATAGGCTTCAGAGGTATCTTCTGAAGAGCCAAATGTTCCAGACCCATGTCAAAACCCTCAGCACAAGGGTCTAGTGCCAGGAAGAGAAGTCCCTATAACTTTTATCTGTGAAAACCAGCAGAGATTGTGGCTGAGTGAGATGGAGTTCCCTAGAGTCTCAGGCATTCCCCTTAAAGGTCACATACACTAACTTACTCTGACTCACTCACTCTGAGCTCCAGTGCTGGGGCAGCACCTCACAATGCATCAGGGACATATGGGAAGGAACCAAATTGTCTGGCTTCAGGATAAAGTCTGGAGAGGAAGTTTTCTCCCAGACAGAAGTACTGGGAGAGGGAATTACTCCTTTTCTGAGCCCTCTCTGCAAACAGAACTGGCAGGCAGATATAATATCTGAGTCTCCATCAACCTGCTGTTCTGCCCTGAAGATTCACTAAGACCCTGCCTCACTCACCTTGTGGGCTTATGCAAATCCTTTCCAGGGGCTTTACCTTACGAATGGCCTCTATTGGCTTATGCTGCTGACTTTTCTAAAATCTCTCAAACAAACAGCATCTAGCCTTTGCATACCATGTACCATTTGCTAAGTGGGCCCAGGCCCAGTGCTAGTGGCAGCCAGCCTAGTTCACAGCTTGGCCTCTCCCAGGGACCTTTAAGCCCAGCACAAGTAGCAGCCATCTTCAGACTGCTCTGTAGCTCATGCCAGGTAGCCTAGAGCTGGGCTTGGGCAGTGGCTGATCTTGGCCTGTACCTCCTGGGAGGCCCCATGGCCAGTATTATTTATGGGCAGCTTCAGATCATGTTGGATTAAAAGCCAACCACCTCCATGAATTACATACTCAAGGGAAAGACTCAGTGGACACCAAAGTCCCACAGAAGAGAATTGTGCTTCTTGAGATCAGCCACTATACAGCAGGTCTTCCACTGAAGTTGCAGCTGGTCCTGTGGAAAATCAGCCTAAGTGGGTGAATCCCTCCAATTTTGACATGTTGATCAAGACTGCATCAAGACTGATCTACAACAGGAAGGTGCACACAGCCCACATGGGAATGTCCTACAGAATACCTACTACAAAAGGCCACTCTACCAATACTGGGAGGCATAGCAGCTCTACCTAATACATAGAAAAAACACAGAGAAACAGCAAAAATAAGGAGGCAAAACATATGTCCCAAATGAAAAAATAGGAGAAATCTCCAGAAAAAGGTATAAATGAAATGGAGGCAAGCAAA